CTTACCCAGCTCCCCCAAAAATCCCACATAGTTATGAGGTTTGGTCCGCAGTAGGAGGAGGGAAGAGGTAGGTCTGTAAAATGGCCTTCAAGCTGTTAGTATGCAACCTTCGCTGCTTGGCTGTCTTTAACATGTCACGGGAACCACTCTTTGACCATGTCCATTAATTAAGCTACCTTCCCTTCATTCTTAAGAAGGGTCTTGTTCAAAAGGAGATGGCGAAGTATTTTGTGACCACAAACAATTATAGAGGCCTTCTTGGATTCTTCGTTTCCTGTCATATTTTCCATGTAAAGAATAAAAGAGAAGTCAGTGTCCCTGTCTCAGCCAACTCAGCTTGGTGGCAAACTCCTTATTCATCAGACTTGGCCCAAGGACCACCTCCTCTGGAAAGCTACGTTTGATTATCTTAGGAAGAGTTCACATCACATATGCTTCCATTACAGCATCTACCTAATCCTGCCTTACAGATCTTTCTCCCCACTAGTTGTAAGCTCCAGGAGAACTGTCCACATCTGTTCATAGGACTCCCCATGCCTAACACAGTGCCAGATACAGTGCCAGTAGCAGTAAATGTTTTCTAAGTGATGGTGACCCAGGAGCCAAGTCCTCACATCTCCATGGCATTGTTCACAAAGGATTCCCAAGTTTCTGAGGCTCAGAGTTATCCCTGATTAAATCCAAGAATGATAAAAAGCAAGCCCACTATGCAAAAGCTTTGAACAAATAAGACCTACCTTGAATCACTACTGGATCTAGTTGAGCACATCAACTTACCATCTTATTTCAGAGGCATCCATCCCGCTTCTCTCACATTTACCCAGTGTGCTTAGAAAGCACCATGAAGCTGGCTGAGCCCAAACTTAAAGCAAGAAGTGATTATGTTAAGAGGTTCCAGAAAGAATTGATACTCAAAAGTTACTGGGCAGATTTTAGACCCCCATACTCATTTACATGGAAAAACACAATCTTGGTGTTCTCCCACAACTGCATTCATCATCTCTCCACTTCATTCTCACAGCTGAGTTTTAGCTGCATTGATATTTAACATGGACATTTTTACAAGCCATCTATTTAGTCACTTACCTCACTGAATACTGACTATGTACCAAACATTATTCTAGACAATGAGAGTTCAGCAGGGGTATCAAGATAGGTATGGTCCTGCAAGAAAGATAGGCATTCAACAAAAAAATTTACAATTGTTCCATTAATTATAATAAGTAAAGGTGAGCTAAGGTATTATAAGAAAGTACAATAGGGGGACCCAACTGGGAAGTAAATGTTGCTTTTATCCCTTACCTCTATTTTTCCCATCCCCCACCCCCATCCTCTGTGGCAACCACCTGTCTGTTCTCCATGTTTATAAGTCCATTTGTTTTATTTTTTAATTCCATATATAAGTGAAATCATATGATATTTGTTTTTCTGTTTGACTTATATCACTTAACATAATATACTCTAGGTCCAGTCATGTCATTGCAAATGGCAAGATTGCATTCTTTTTTATGGTTCATTAAAATTCTGTTATATAAATGAGCCATATCTTCCTTATCCATTCATCTGTTGGTGAACACATAGGTTGATTCCGTATCTTGGCTATTGTAAATAATGTGGCAATTATCGTAGGGGTGTATATATCTTTTTGAATTAGTGATTTTGTTTTCTTCAGGTAAATTCCCAAAAGTGGAGTTTCTTAGTTGTATATTTCTATTCTTCATTTTTGAGGAAACTCCATGCTGTTTTCATAGTCGCTCCACCTATTTACATTCCCACCAACAGGCCATGACTGTTCCCTTTTCTCCACACCCTCACCAATACTTATTATTTCCTGTCTTTTTGATACTAGCTATTCTGCCTGGTGTGAGGTAATATTTAATTGTCATTTTGATTTGCATTTCCCTGATTATTAGTGATATGGAAATATCTTTTCATGTGCCTGTTGGCCATCTGTATGTCTTCTTTGGAAAAATGTCTATTCAGATCCTGTGCCCATTTTTTAATTGGATTATTTTGTTGTTGAGATGATCTCATGATTTCTATCTTTTATTTTGTTAATGTGATGTGTCATATGGACCGATTTGCAGATATCAAACCATCCTTGCATCCCTGGAATAAATCCCCTTGATCTTGGTAAATAATCCTCTAATGTATTTTTGAAGTCAGTTAACTAATATTTTGTTGAGAATTTTTGCCTATTTGCCCAGTAGGGATATTAGCCTACAGTTTCCTTTTTTTTTTTTTTGTAGTATCTGCCAGGTTTTGGTATCAGGGTGATGCTGGCCACATAGAATGAATCTGGAAGTTTTCTTTCCTCTTCTTTATTTTCATATAGTTGGAAAGAATTGGTGTTGACTTTTCTTCTAATGTTTGGTAGAATTCACCTATGAAGCCATGTGGTTCTACATTTTTGTTTGTTGGGAGTTTTTGGATTACTGATTCTATTTCAAAACTAGAAATTGGTCTGTTCAGATTTTTTGTTTCTTCCTGATTCAGTCTTAGAAAAATTACATGTTTCTGAGAATCCATCCATTTCTTATAGTTGTCCAATTTTTTGGTATATAATTCTTCATAGTTGTCTTTTTAATCCTTTGTATTTCTGTGGTCTGTGTTGTAACTTTAACTCTTTGATTTCAGATTTTATTTGAGTTCTATTTTTTTTTCTTGATAAGTCTGGCTAAAGGTTTGTCAGTTTTGTTTATCTTTTCAAAGAACCAGTTCTTAGTTTCATTGGTCTTTTCTATTGTGTTTTTTTAGTTTCTATTTCATTTATTTATTATTTCCTTTCTTGTACTGTGGGCTTTCTTTATTCTTCTTTTTCTAGTTCCTTTAAGTATACAGCTAGGTTGTTTATTTGAGATTTTTCTTGTTACCTGAGGTGGACCTGCATTGCTATAAACTTACCCCTTAGAACTGCTTTTGCTACCTGCCAAAGATTTTGAACCATTGTGTTTCCATTTTCATTGTCTCAAGATAATTTTTTTTAATTTCCTCTCTGATTTCTTTGTTGACACTTTAGTTGTTTAGAAACATGTTGTTTAGGGAAAGTAAAGTGTTCAGGCTGAAACATGGAGCATGATAAGGTGGCTGGGAATTACCTAGGGAGGCAGGGGGAGAGGGGAACACTTAAGACAGCACCCAGGTAGGAAGAAGGTTCACATAGCACAAGGGTACCTCCAAGCTCTGTATAGAAGGTCCACTATGTGAATCTCAGTGAAGCTTCAATGGTAGGAAAGAAAAAAAATTAGCTAAGTAGCAGGTAGAGGGAATCATTGAAAAGGAAAATAAGAAAATCTCAAGGAACCAACTGCAGAAGGAATAGCTAGGCTTGTGGGAATTAGAAAACCATTAAAAGGCAAAGCTTCTTTCTTGACTTTAGATACCTTTTCTCCTCTTGTTTTCCCTCCCTCCCTTAGTCCCTCCCTCTTTCAGTCTCTGCCTTCCTCCCTTTCTCCCTCCCTCTCTCTACCTCTTCCTCTCTCACTTCTTTGCCAAGTGTCTTATTCTGCTTTCATCTGTTCCAATATGGCAACCACCCATGAGGCTACATGATCTTACTGTTTCAGCTGCACTATTGATTGTAATCTCAGTATCTCTCAGTTCAATTGCTCAAGAGAGTAAATCTGGTTGATTGCTGGCCACTTAATTTAATTAGTTGGTTGGGTGATCATGGACTAAACATCTTTTTTTTTTATGCCACCCAGAATTGGCAAGCCAATCATGTTCCATGTAAGCCATGCAGAGTTCTACTCTCAGCCACAGGGATGGAGGAAATAACTCATGCCTAAACAATTCAACACAACACATCAGTAGCCATAGAAATTTGTCCAAGATTTGTAGAAGTCAGACTTTGGATGAGAATTCTGGGGAAAAAGACTCTCCATCTTCCATTAGCACTACAAGAGAAGATATTTACTCTTCCTTTAAATAACATGTCATGTTGTGAGGTGCAGATCTTCAGCAACCTTTTTGTGACATTAAGGGGAGCCAAACTGAGCATGCAGCAAATCCAGAGATACCCAAACCACCATTTGGAGGAAAAATTCAGTTGTTACAATATAGTATCTGAGTTCTGATTGTATTCTTGCCTAAAGCTGGTTCTGTTCTTGGACATTTTCAAACCAATAAATTCCTTTCTTTGTTTAAGCCAGTTGGAATTGGATCTTTCCATTACTTGCAAAACAACTGATTTGTCTTGCCTCTCACCTAATCAGTTAGAAAGTAGGGTTGGAGAGGGCCAGTTCATGTTTCTTATTGGAAATGACTGTGAGAAAGTGATTGATCCAAAATATAGCCAAGGCACCTGGAGAACAAGCTTCAGGTAAGTTTCCTAGCAGTATAGAGAAGCAAATAGCATAGCTAAAACATGTTGTCAACTAACTTCATAGGCAAAGAAGGAAAAAAAAATAGAGGTCAGTTACTGCTTTATCTTCTTTTCTAAAGAATATTAATCACATTTTTCATCGCTTCATTAATTTTTTCAATTTTTCTCAAAAACAGTCACTATTCTTTTTAGAAATAGCCATAGGCTATGTTTGAAACATCTCAAATGAGTTCCTTTTGAATGAATTATGTGAGAAAATCTCTATAGATATCCAAAAATAGGGTGTGTCTCTGAACTTGAAAGTTGACTACATTTTGCTAAAAAGAAAAACCATTTCCATGAGAACCAGATTTGAAAAATATCACCCCATTTTTCTTTCCACAAATCAAATTTACTGAAGAAAACTGGGAAAAAAATAAAATTATAATAAAACATTTGACTCTTTTCTTTACTATGCTTGTGTATTTGTTTCTTACCTATTAGAGACAGTAAATAACTAGAAGGCAGGCAGCTATCTACTTAACTAGGCTAAACATTTCTCCGGCACAGTGCCACAATATCTAGGGAAATCTCACTACTGCTAGATGCCATAATTCTGGGCTGCAAAATGAAAACCTTCCATGTAAATCAGGTCTCTCTCTACTCCTCTGCTCATATGTTTCTTTTTCTTTACAAGGAACGCAAATTTCCCAAGTTTGTATCCAAAGAAATGGAAAACATGTACATTGAGGAGCTGAAATCATCCGTCAACCTGCTCATGGCCAATTTGGAAAGTATGCCAGTGTCCAAAGGTGGCGAATTCAAGCTTCAGAAACTCAAACGCAGCCACAATGCTTCCATCATCGACATGGGTGAGGAGAGTGAGAACCAGCTCTCCAAGTCGGATGTCGTGCTGTCTTTCTCCTTGGAGGTAAAAAGCCCTAAACCCTTGAAAGTTTCCTGGCATAGAAAGCAAGACATGGGTAATTAGATGCACTACTTGCATCAGCTTGTTTTCCTCTTTGCACCCTAGGAGGAGGTATGAAAATAACAGCTTGCTAAGCACAGGTCAGCTAAATAGTAAGTGATTCCTCATCTCCAGGAGCCCATACTTTTCTTAAGGAAAAGCCATCTTAAGAACCACCTACTAAATTTAATCATGCATTAGTTTCCGATTTTAGCAAACTAGCATCATTTCATGGTGAGCCATAAATTTTCTTTCCCATCAGCTCTCCTGTTGGCTGCATGGTAGAGAGCCTTCTGTTATGGTGGAGCTTCATTAGTTTATCTCATCACCCAAAAAAAGAACTCATTCAGGCTGAAGCTGTGGCAGAATGCTCAACATTTCAATAAATTTCTATGTAACTTCTACCCACATTTGTGTTAATGCATATAATTTAAAGACTGGATCAGATCTAGCTACATCAGAATTACCTAAGAAGCTGGTTCGGTAGATTCCTGGAACCACACAGATTTACTGACCCAAATTGCTAGGAGGTGGAAACTTAAATGGTGCAGTCACTATGGAGAAGTTAAACATAAAACAACTATGTGTTCCAGCAAAGATATCTACTCAAGAGAAATGAAAGCACATGTCCCTACAAACACTTACACATGTATACCGTAGCATTATTCATACTAGCCAAAATGGAAACAATCTAAATTGTATATCAACTGTTGAATGGATACACAAAAGGTGGCATATCCATACAAGGGAATACTATTCAGCAATTAAAAGGAACAAACTCATTATATGTGTTCCTTTAGATGAACCTCAAAAGCATTATGTTTACAGAAAGAAGCCAGACACAAGAGACGGCATATTGTTTGATTCCATTGACATGAAATGTCCAGAAGGGGAAAATGTCCAGAAGCAGAAAGTAGATTAGTGTCACCCAGGACTGGAGTGGAAATGAACATGAGGGATCTTATTGGGGTCGATAAAAATGTTCTAAAACTAATTTATTATGATGCACACATAACTTAGTAAATCTACTAAAATCAGGGCATTGCATATTTGAAATATTAATTATATCATATGATAAATATGAAATATGCCTCAATAAGGTTGTCAAAAAAAGAAGACACTCTAGGCAGATTGCAGCCCTGGAATGAATTTAATGAGCTCATTTTAATGAGCTACCAGGTACTTCTTACATACTCCAAAGTTTTAGAATCATTCATAACATACTAAAGCTCAAAACCCCACAAGGATTTTATGATGACCCTGGATTTGGGAAAGAAAAACAAGAGAATAGATCGAATTTCTGTAGACTTAATTCAAATTTGTAAAGACTAATTTTCTAGAACATCATTAGAGCTTGCTGTGAATTAACTGCAGGTAATTTGTTTTACTGGGCTCAGTTTGGATCGAGATAGTCACATTACAGTGTTGTCAACATGTATTTGGTAGCTGGAAGAGGTAGTATTCAATTAAATATAGAGCACTTGGTGTGTGAAAAAATCATCAGTGTAATTTCACAGAAACTTCCTTTTTTTCTTTTTTAGTACTGCCACCTGAGGTATTGAACACTTTTTCTAAGGTGTCTTTGAATCTGATTATTGCCAATTAGAGGTGGCAATTTATTCCTTACTGCCTCTTGTCTTCCTACAGCAAGGGCAAAAAAAGCAGTTTATTGATTTTTACAAAGCTTTTAGATCTGTAATTTTCTATTCTTTGTCAGTTCTCAGTATTATACAGCTGATTATCTGAAATATAGATGTGGGCAAGACCCCAACCATATTCCCATGTGTACATTATTCAAACAGACTAACTTGTAAGTACAAGTACAGAATGAAATGCCCTAGGGTCTCCAAATACTTTTTAATTACAACACTGAATTGCATATCACACTAAAACTACCAGCAAAAATCATTGTGCATCTATTTGTGAATGCATTTGGGGGAGCACAGGATAAGAAGAGGGAGAGAGAGAACTGTCATCTCATCAGGGCAGACTGGGACTGAATTTGCAGGTTGGTAGATGATAGACTTTATGTAATTATAGAATTGCATGGCTGGAAGGGGCACCTGAGAACAGTCAACTGCAGCAAGAAAACTGAGGTCCTGGGTGCTGGGGGGCATGGCCTTTGGCAGGGTAGTGTTCTGATGAAAAACAATAGGAATTTATAAAATGCCACTATGCCTACTTTGCCTTCATTAACTCAGTGAATCATCACAACAATCTTCTGAGGCATTTGCAGATGTGGAAATAAAGCCTCAAAAAGGTTGAGAAACTTTTAAATGATCACACTGCTGGTGAACATACAAATTCAAGATTTGAACTCAGATATTTTAAATTCCAAAAACTATATTCTCTCTACTGCACCTCCCATTTCTTTCCATTTGTATGACTCTTCCCAGAGCCAAATTTTTGCATTACTCAGATCACCACATTTGATCCTCACAACAGCCACAGAGATGTATAGGACACATTATACCCACTTTGCAGATGAGGAAACTGAGGCTTAGGAGGTGTGAAAGAAGGAGGTGACTTCAAGGTTAAGTCATTCGTCCTACATGACCTGAGTAGTACAGTAGTTCTCAAAGTATGCCCCCTGGGTCATCAGCACCACCAGCGAAGTTGTTAAAAATGAAAAAGTCTTGGGCTCCTCCTCCAACCTTCTTCTCAGAAACTCAGGGGGTAGAGCCTGAAGTCTGGCTTAACAGCCCTTGGAGTGATTCTGATTCACAGTAAGTTTGGGAATCACTAGAATGTTCATTAAGCAGCAAAACTGACTTGTGAGTCCTGGTACAGTGACAACCCCACTGAATTCCTTGAATCAAGCCCATTAAAGAAGTGTGTTTTTTTGTACACCTACATCCTTCCCCTGTGTTAGTACCATTAACTTCCTTTGGAATACAGTTGAGTGATTTTTTTATATGCTTTGGTTGTTATAGATCTCCGATGGAGGTCATTTGTTTCAGATTTTTAAATCAGTGACTCTTCCCTTTCTCTCTCCGCTCTCTCTGATAAGTGACTGTGCCTACCACTGAATATGGAAATAGCAGGTGATTGAATGGAGTTTTAAGAGTAGTGGTGGGAAGTGCCAGGAACTCTAAATGGTCTATCTTGGTCCATCAAAACACCAGCCTTTCCCCTCAGTCTAGAACAGAGAGTATGCAGCTGCAGACATGTTTTGTTTTGACCCAACAAAATTGGCCTGCAGAGAATTTGTGTATTTTGTACCTCCCATTTTGGATTATTGTCAAAAATTTCAAAAGCAGATTTCTAACTTTGATTCGGATTCAGATTTCTATTTTCTGGTAGGAAAACATTAGAGTGTCTGGCAACTAACTGTGCACTGGGGAAAGGCAAAACAACAATGGACTGTGACTGAGTAGTGGCTGCTCTCTTTAAATGGATCATGTGCTCTCCAGTTTGTCACTGTCCCCACTACTCCCTACTGCATCTTTGACTCTAATGCTGAATGGCATTTGCCATTTATCTTAGCATTGCCTTGCCACTTATCTTATTGTAAAGAGAAAAATGAATTCCTGGGCCTATGTCTCTGCCATGTTCTAAATTAAAAGCTGTATTTTTTTTAAAAAAAAGAAGAGCCTATTTCTTTTTGGAAATGAACAATGACCCTATGTGTTTAACACAGAAAAGTGTAGCCCATTTTACATTACCTGCCTGGCCCCTGAGAGCATCTGAATTAGTGGGCCTTGTCTTGCCATCTGAAGGCAATAAGTTACACTATGAAGAATTGCATCGTTGTGTTAGACTGGTCCCAGCAGGGCTGGTATAAACCTGACAGGAGCTATCAAATACCTGCTGGGCTTTTTGGTGATTTCTTCTCATCTGTGTGTTTTACTTTGGGCAATGTTGCTCATGGGCTTTAGCAATAACCTCCACTATGTGTGACTCTCTTTTCAGGTGGTGATCATGGAGGTCCAAGGACTCAAATCCTTGGCTCCAAATCGCATTGTATATTGCACAATGGAGGTAGAAGGAGGAGAGAAACTACAGACTGACCAGGCTGAGGCTTCTAAACCAACGTGAGTTACATTTCTCCGCAGTTCATCTTCTAGAACCTTATTCTCATTGGCACTGTTTTGGCCAACTAAAGTTAAAGGTGTGGTTTCCCCAGAAGGTAGTAGACATATACGTTGTTTGTGTTTCAGACAGTTTGACTCGACTGTATTTTTATTTGGCAAACATAATAAAGATTCCAGTTCCTTCAGAGAAGAGAATAGAAGGAAATCAAACAGCCTCCCTTTCTGAAGACTTTACATATTCATCTTACAGAGTTTAGTCACAACTTCCATCCTTTGATATAATGTGCAGAAAAGTTTGATATAAATTTCTTCTATTATATTTGCTAAATAGTTTTACAATGTAAGCAATTTTATTTTCCAAACTCTTTCCCTATGTGACACAGTTATGAATATATCAGCAAAGAAGGTATGTTACTTTCAGTACAATACATTAATTCAATAGGTCAACACATATTTATTAAATGCTCACTGTGTGTACACAAGGTACAGAAAATAGTCACTGTAGTAGTCCTACAGAGCTTACAGTTGAGTGGGGAGATCAGAAAATAATTACAAGAATATATGATCACAAATAGTTATAAATGCTGAGGAGGAGTGCTTTAAGTGGAGATAGCAGGGGGACCTGACCCAGAGTCAGAGTTGCCCATCTTCAGGAGTTACAAAACATTTGGTCTGATATTGTAAGAGTTAAGCAAGAGAGATGGCAAAGGAAAGGCAGAATCAGCTTGTGCAAAAGCCCTGTGGTTTGCAAAGGCCTTGTGGCAAGAGAAATTAAAAGAAGGCCATTGGGGCTGAAGATCAGAGACCAAAGTATGCTACAAGCTTGCCAAAGAGGCAGGAAGGGGCCGCACCACAAAGGGCCTTGCTAACCCATGGAGATGCTGAAGCTTGGGGATGCATGCTTAGATGTATGTTTGAAAAGATCATTCTGGCTGCAGTCAAGGGGCCAGACTTGATGCAGGAGACCAGTTAGGAATCAATTGTGAGGATTTATAGGAGTAATGATGATTAACTCATTTGGGTCACTAGACTATCAGGCCTCAAAAATTCCTGAGATCACTGCTCTTTTCCCTCTGTACCCACTGCCTCTCTCCCTTCCTTTTCTATCTCAATCAAGCCAGCCTAAACTAATGAGCATCTTTTTTTATTGTTGTTAATTCATAAGAAGGTCTTCAAAAGGGTAACCCTTCACAGCAGCTCACTGCTTCTCCTCCCCCAGAGCATTATGAGCTGTTTGGCAGAACATGAATAACTTACCAGGATGTTCAAACAAAATAGTTCAAAGAAAGCACTGAATGTTTCCTGGACTAGAGAAAATCTGAGGGTATTATATGCCTTCAAGTGGCTCTTTGCATGAATAGGCAAAGGCCTCAGATGCTCAGAAGCTGGGTGGAATTAACGAGAGCATGCAGGAGGAAATGGAAACTGGCGCAACTTGCCACACACCACCCTTCCTCCCTTTTTTTAAATTGGTTCTCAAACTGAAAATGAATACAGCTTCTTTTTAACTGCCATTGATAAATCCCAATTTTTCTCTCAATTGTCACCATGCCTGATGATTATCAGTGGTGTTATGTTAAGCTCTATTATTTATAAGTACCTTTAAAAAATGTGTCATATATGGGGGAAGGAAAACCAATTTGGTGTCGCTGCCAACCTTTTATGATGTTGGGCTCAATATGGTATCACAAGTTTGAGAAGGAAGAAGAAAGCTCTGATGATTCTAACAGGCTGGTGTTTCATATGGGCTATTTTAACTCAAAATGTAATTTATTTTATGTTATTGGGTTTAAAGATTTCAGTTGCCAGGGTAAATGATGAGCTGATTTTCATGTGCTTATGAATGCTTAAAAGAAAGTTTCCATATTAATGAATTAAAGTTTCCAATTAATGGATATGGAATACTTGGGTCTACCTTCCTGAAATACTCATATTTCACATACATATTTACTCATCTATACACGTACGTTATTATGGCCAGCAATAAACATCTCACTCTGAAACAATTTGCTCTTCTAGCCATTAGTGTCACATTTTTGTTTCTCTTCAGTCAGTGAGTGGGTTTACCAAAACCCCAGAGAGGATTTGTCTGGTTGCTTTTTAGTACAGTAAGAATGCAAGTTTCATGCCTGGAATCAGCTGGAATCACTCAGAACTAAGCTCTATTGAGAAGCGTTCTGAGGCCATATCTGTAGTCAGTGGAAAACACTGCCATGTTCAGCGTGTCACGTCTGCCATGGAGAAGAAGGTATTCGAGTGCCTTGTATTCGCCATTTCTATATGTATCTCAGGGGGATCTATCCAGCGTTTGATCTACCAGTGCTCATGTTTCTTCCTGTCTCTTCTTTTGTCCTTTTTATATAAATTCTCTGTTTAACCTCTACTTATCTTGCTTCTAAATCTGCCATTCTTTTCCTGAGCTCTTTTTTCACTTTGTCCTGTGTCGTAGTTCAGTTCTGGTAGTTTTCCTCTGCCTCCAGTTTCATCTTCTAGGATGAATGAGACTGTTTGTACAGGTGTATTTTCTTCCTTCCTAATTTAGACTTACTCAGAATCCTCTCCATCATTTATTTTCTTTGAAGTGTATATTTCTTCTTTTCCTCTCCTCTTCTACTTAGAATTTCTCCCATTACTAATCTCCAGCTGTCCTGCCTGCTACTTGATTTTGATTATCCCCAAAATTATCCTTTTGAGGGTTATCTTTCATCTGTCCTAATAATTCCACTTCATAATCTAACAAGCTTAGCCCTTTTCCTGCTGTATTAATCTTCTGAACCTTGTCTTGGTTCTTACAGCCAGCTGATGCCCATACTTTTTATACATTCTATAACCAAAATTCCACTGAAGCCTATTTTATTTATTACTTACAGATTTTATTGTCACTGCTATCGAGTAATTTAGCCAGTGACTGGAACTCTAACATCGTATTCTGTTATATGTCTACGAGGAATTTGTCTTTTGTCTTTTGTTTTTGCCAAGTACAGTCACAAAGTCCAGGAGTACATTACATAACCCAGTTTGTCCAAGACTGTGTTTTGGGGACTCTAACGTACAGGGTGCGCTGAGGAAAGCGATGGCAGGGAGAGGAGTACTATGGTTGAGTAAGTTGGGGCAATGCAAGGCATATATTTCCTTCTGAGTTATTCACAGTGTACATTAGCATTTTAAAGGCTCTAAAGATTTCCACAGTTAATAAACCTGTTTAGCTTTGTTTATCCGTGAGCTTTTCCTAAACTTATTTCAGCTAATACCTATTAGCACCCATTGGGAACACTGATTCCGAGCTCTCCCTCACTCCCTCAGTCAAGACCACCTCCTCCTTTATAACCAGGGTCCTACTCAGCATGGTCATTTAGGTCAGTTCCATAATGTAATAACGTACAAATGCTGTGTTCTTGTGTTAAATATACCTTGTGGTTAGAAAAAATGGTGTGGATATGGGTTGTTCCTGTTCATCCTTCATTTTATCAATCTGTTTGCTACATGTGGGTTATTTTCTATCTGACTGTATATTCTCTCACTTCTATCCAGGGTTTTTAATGTGGAAAGCCAGGAGAATATGTTATCAAGAGTTTTCCAAATAGACAGATAGGTAGGTAGGTAAGTTGGCAGGTAGGTAGGTAGGTAGATAGATAGATAGATAGATAGATAGATAGATAGATAGATAGATAGATAGATAGATAGATTATATACATGTATACATACATACATAGATTTTTTTAATATTGCCCTTATTTGCAATACATTGTTTCTGCTTCTAGTGGGAAACTAATAAGCATGCCAAGACAGAAATAATTGAAACTGTGTTATTCATGAACAATCTAAGGAAGGCATGGGAATGGAGAAGGGAAATGCTTTGAGAAGTCAGGACGCCAGGTATATGTGACATCTCCTATGAAATACAGCAGAGACTTTTCTTGCCATGAGGCAATACTTATCAAAGGGCGCACACTATCTCTGCGGATAATAGAGATATGGTAGGCATTACCAAGACACGGCACTGAGTAATATCAAATCATGTGATCAGAGCATTTTCCATTTCTTTTTCAGTTCTTTTGATCAAGTCAAGGAGAATGTTTTTATTTGGTTCTAATAGATCTTTAATACCTCCATGGGCCTCAGGCTCAGCACCTGCTGCAAGCAAGAGCCTCCAGTTGCAATTTTATAGCACTATATAGATGTCATTTAACAAAAAAAGTTTTCTATGTACTGGGCCTAGGATTGATTTAAATGGAAATTTGAAATTTCCATGTCAAGGATGGCATGAAGGGTAGTAGGCACTTGCATTCCTTCAACAGCACACATGGGATACTTTCATTGTGTCCAAGTAGTGCCGAGGCTACAACCATGAATAACAATATATTGAGTATACATAAAGGTCAAGCCTTGGCCTCATGGAATGTATATTCTAGTAAAGCAAGAAGCAATAAACAGAGAACAAATAAGTACATAAGAGAACAGATTGTAATTTGTGTTACTTTCCATTTGTGGCTGGTGACGCTGCTCTGTCTTTTGCAATAGTGACTTAAGGTCCCTTTTAAAGAAATACATTAGCATTTTAAAAGTGAATTAATTTAAATAAAATATATTAAGTAAATAATACCACAGGTGGTGCCTAGATATGATAAAAAATAATCACGGAAGTGTCTTATGTAGGTATGTGGAAATGGCAAATGTTGGGAAGATGGTATGCAATTTTTTGGTGGGGGGGGGATCTGACATAAGGAAACCTGACATGTTCCCTAAATATAAGATACACTCCATAATGATTTTCTCAGCTTTTGTACAATGTAAGGTACCCCTAAAGAGAGCATGTCCTGAGGATTAAGTACCAGAGAAATTTAAATATTTTTACTGAAAACCTAAGCAGTTTGAGTTAGCAGCCCAATATTGGCTAACTTGTCTGAAATTGTATTCTTCTGAGTTGAAACCAAGGATGCTACTTGACATTAGATTATTTAACAAGTTCATTATTCTGTGACAGGCTACAGGCGTCATGA